ACAGTTAGCGGGGTTTATATAAGTTTTATATAAGTTGTCTTTTACTAAATGCAATTGTCGGCTTTTTTTAGAGGACCCAAATATAAAAATGTTTGATTTAAAGGTTATGTTAGTACAACAATTATTTTTTGTTATATTTCTTAAAATTGTTTAAACTTAAACATAAATTATATTGGGTAAAGTTATCATTAGTTAATTCTGCACCAATAAATATACTTACCAAATTGAATCCTTTGGCAAAACACAAAAATACAACAACAAAATATTTTACCATGATCACTTAACCCTTAAGCAGGCACGCGGGGTGTACAAAACACCCCAGCTTCCTAAATATAGCTACCAGTCTCACTTCGATTCTGTAAAAGTATTGTCAGTATTGTAATAACATTGCCGATTTTTAAGTTAATGTAATAGGTTGTCTGGTATTTTGTTTCAAACAGGCTCTGGGTGCTGTGGACACCCTGTGCGCCTTTCCACGTACAATTTTTTTTGCATTAATTTTTTAATTTGATTTTTTCAACTTTTGTTATTACTTCACATTAAATAAGGTTATACCCTGTAAAAAAGCAATTGGAACGCACGACAGAATATTTATTTTTATCTTGAAAGCATTGCGTTATGTGTTGCTTGTTTCCGTTCGTTCTAATATTTTATGTAAACAACCTATAAAAATTTGCCAAAATTTCTCCGCCCAATAATTTTCAAATTATCAGTGTTCCTGCAAGACCTCAGTTGCCGGTAAAGAAGGGCAGATGTGTAATTTGTCCAAGGCATGCCTTTTTGCAAACAGTAGAAGGTGTGCCAAAAACATGTGCATGAAGCACAGGAAAATGTTTGTAAAGAAAGCTTCGATTCCATAGTAAATTCTAGTATCGAAAGTGAGTGACTTTGAGTAGGCTGGGTTTAGCCTCCCTTAGATAAAATACACACACTAACGTAACTATATAAGCATTTAAGCGTTGAGTTTCTTAATTAATAATATAAAGAATAATCAATCGAAATCGAGTACTAAACCAGTTTTTTTAGTTTTTTCCTTGCCACGTAAAACACAAATAACGTGAGCGATTTAGCTGTGCAATTGAACAAAATTTGTCTATTAAGACTTCTGCCTTCCTTTCTTTTGTGAAAAAACTACCTATTTATTTAAAAATGATGTATAGTTCGTATGCTTTAAATGCATTGTTGACAATTCTTAAATTTACGCAATGCTTTTGAAGTCCACCAGATGGCGCGCGCGTTGGGAAAACCCGATATTTCTTTAGCGTATATAGAGTTATGAGTGATATTAAATGAAAGATATTGTACATTTTAAGATAAAATGGTTGTCAGATAAATTTTCTGTTAGTTTCTGTCGAAATACATAAACTTTAAATCATCACACTGAAAGAAATTTGTTGCTAAAAGTAAATACAAATTTATACTAAAAATTTTATACTAGTGCTTTACACATTTATACTACTGTTTATTATGAATGTATGTTAAATTTTGTAATACATTTATTGTAAAGAAGATATGTTAGATCTAAATAAAAATAAACTTACCCTTACTATAAAATGTAAACTATAAGTGAATTACAGCAAAAAAATATTGCTAGAAACACATTTATAATGCTAGGGCAGCAATAGGCTGCTAACCAAACGAATATATTTGTTTTAGCAATGTATGTGGTAGTCCATATATGAAACATAAAATATATTTGCCCTAATTATTTTTTTATTTAACTTTAGTATATATTTCTTTCAGTGCATGAATTTATAGAGTTTACATTTTCATTGTCGATTTCGAGCTAAACTCGATAGACACCAGTCTTTCTATGTGATTTTAATGTATTTTTATTATTGTACGGCGGTGTATAATATTTTTACTTTTAAATTGCGTACAAATATGAAGTCTTTCTATAGGTATAGTCTTATGAGCTTTATAATATAAAAATGTTTTTGATTATTTTAATGGTGCACATATTGTAACCTATACAAAGCATTGGAGCAGATTGCTAGTATATTATATTAGAAAATATATTATAATGATCGAATTATGTATCGGGAAACTTTGTTAAAGATAAACCGTTTATGCTACGTGACTTGTTAGGTAACGAGAAGGTTATTCGGGTTGGTCGTTTGATACAGGGGACATTAACCAACAATTTTAAATTAAGTTTTGAGGGTATTTTGCGACATTAATTAAATAGTCGTTTAGTGGACTTGAAGCACGCCAAACTTTAATACCGAGAAATAATTACATACCAACTATTTCTTGCTATATGAACCAACAAAATCATTTAAAATCAACATAAAAAAAGTTTAACTTCAACCTTTTTATTTCATTTTTATTAATAGAATAAAAAAATATACCAAAAACTGTTATGAAGTAAAATTCGAATAAAAATGAATGGAAAGCAGGTAGCAACCTATCAGTGTGTTTTTAAAAGCAAAAAAATAGCAATTAAAAAATAAATTTGTTTTTTGCAGATAAAAAATTCAAACTTAAAAATCAGATATCCTTTAATATGTACGTATGCAAAGCAACCTTATACATTAAAAATAAGCACCCCCGTATTGAATCGATAGTGGGTACTCGATTTATTTCGGGGCTAGGTATTCAAAAGATTTACATCATAAAAGTTTCGTATTTTAAATCGCATTATATCCAATATGCACAAAATGATTATTTCCAGAAATATCCATTCCGTATACAGCGATTCAATACCCAACCGCACGTCAGCGTGACTTACATGCCCTCTATCAAAAATGGATTTTCTTGTCTTTAACTTGATTGATTCTTGTTAAGTTAAATCTTTCTTGTCAGGGCCGTTCCCAGCGGTTTTCCCGCCAGTGTGCAAAATACAATTTGCGGTCCTACAGAAATAGTTATTTATGTCATTAGGTTAAGAAGTAAGGCTTTTTGTGCTAAGCACAAAAAGGCCCTTCTTGTCCGAATGGCATACAACATTTTATCTTCAAAGCACTTTATATAGGTCAATTTAATTCAACATCAAAGCGGCCTAACCTCACTTTTTTAGAATCTCATTTATTTATTAGCTAAAGATTACATTAAATGTACAATAATTATAATTGCTTTTAGAAGCAGTAATAGTTTGACAATACCTAGCAACATGATTTAAGTAGAAAGGGATTTTTGCTATTACATTGCATTCAATTAATTGTTTAATAAATAGGTAGGTATCTAATTTCAATTTGTTTGGATTTTTATTTAAAAAATAGGTAGTTTGTAATGTTTAAGCTGTGTTTAACATTTAATTTCACTGAAAACTTAAAGCAAATTAAAACTTAAAGATAATTTAAATCGTAGAAAAAGAATCGTGCGTTGTCTTGGTTGCCTAACCTCACTTTTTGTTTTATTATTCATATTTAATTTTACAATAATTTAATGAAAAATATTTATCATTAACAGTAAAACAAACAAATTAGTGCTTATTATAAATAAATTAAACCAGTTTAATACCTTAATTTCCTAGAAAAGGATTAATTTGTCAAAACAATACCCCTAGCGAGAAAAATCGAACTAATTACTTGCCTCATAAAAATTTTTATCGGCCTAGGCCATAACAAGGAATTTCTTTATCGAATGTTGACAACAATAAAGTTTAAATTATAGACCGCGTGGAGATAAAAGTTGTTTTTAATTTTTTTCATGGTACCTACCTAAAAATATTAAAAATCTGTATCTCCAATTGGCATATAAATTATAACATTTTGTGTTGCATATTGGTTATAATATTTTTATGATTTTTCTAGTTCTTACGAGGCTTTTCTGGCAATAAATTTTGTTTAAAACCAAAGAAAATCCTTTTTTTCTTCTTTAACATTAAAAGCCGCTTATTGTAAATAAGTAAATAAAGGACGGCATGGCGAATCGATTTTGACATTAACTGTCAAACCAATGACTGTGATACCAACTATCTAAAGTAAAATTCGACCAAATTAAATTTAAGGTATAAAATTAATTTTTTTATAGAATTTTTGCAAAATAGATAAAATAGCATAAAGAACTCATGTCATAAAACCTTATGACATTAGTTCTTTAATATAATATTACCTTAATTTATAGACCAATTAAAGATAAAATAGTTTTGACATACAACATACAACATGTATGTTGTAAGTCATTCAGCCAAGAATATATTTTTATGCTTCGCTTAATTGTCAAAACATTAACTTCATGAACAATGTCAATATACAATTGTTATTTTTTGCAATATTTAAAAATTAATAATTTTATCTTGAAATTTTTTTCAATATTTTTAAAAAATGTTATTATTTAACTTTTCATTTAACACCTTCACAATCAAAATTGGTTTTCATAAGGATTTTAAACTATTTTTAATTTTTAATTAATTACAAAAACATAAGGCCTTATTTCAACACATTAAAAAAGACTGGCCACAAAATTCTGAAAAATAAAACACATTGAAACACTTTTATGTAAGGATAAAAAAGGCTTTTTTTATAAAAATCCAACAAAAACCACCGACCCAACCATTAGAACAATAGTATATTGTGCAACTAGTGGGGAAAATGGTCGATTCTGAACAAGCATTCGTTGTTTAGAATCTACTATTCTTCCCGAGTTGCACATATTATTTTGTTCCCTGATAATATAAACATGAATAACCATATTTAATTAATAATAACAATAACAAACAGCTGATCAATTGCAAACTGACCAAGCCTATTCTAAAATCATCATAGTCACCTGGAGTATTAGGTATACCAAATATATTATATATTATGTCAATAGAAATTTACTTTAATTTGGTATTTAAAAATAGCTGTTAGGTATTTTTACAATAATTGACTTCTTTTTACTTTTCCTCTACAAGTGGAATAATATTTTCGTTGTTTAACTAATGTCTTCCAAGTGAGTGTGGGACCAAATACTTTTTATTTCCCATTTCACATTACACTTGTAGTAAAACATAAATTTTATCAGAGCATTGTTTAACTTGTGTTTTGTAACGTTCTCGTTTTTGTTGTTTTCAGGGTCTCATGGATAATAACGCTCTAAACGGCGGGGCAGTGTCCCATTTCGAGCCGCAGGTGGCCATGTTGTGCGACGCCGGCCTCCACGGCCAGGAGGCGTACCACCCCAAATACATGACCGAACAAGGAGAGTGGATGAGCGATCTTTACTCCAAAGCCACCTGTTTCAAGGACAAGATGGATATCCTAAACTATTGCAAAAAGGTAAGTCACGAAAAGTTAACAGATATTTTATGAAATTATATCATACGAAGAAAAGAAAATGCCAGAAATCAGAATGTCACGATTATTAATCAAAATAAATTAACAATTAAAAATGTTAATTATATTTATAATTAGAGATGGGACTTGAAAAAAAACGGTCCGTTTTTTTCAGGTTTTTTTTTATTTTTTTTTTCAAATTTAGTCCCATTTGCCTAATTTTTTATGTTTCCAGTCCAGTTCATGGACTAAAATTAGCCACTAAATAACATTTAGTACCTAAATGTAAATATAGTCTCGCGCTATACACGCGCCACCACCACCGAATTGACGAATAAGGGCCGCGCTTGTTTTGATTTGTTCCTAAAAAAAGTAACTACCTATAATATTTTTGATTCAGCGCTTGGTTTTTCAAAAAGTTACCAAAAGCGCTTTTTTTCATGATTTTTCAGTCATGTAGAATATGAAGCAATTGAAAATTCTTATAGAACATTTACTCATTGGTGGTTAAGTCAGAACATTCCGTGGACCAAAAAAAAAATTTTTTTATTACGGTATTCGTTAGGATTAAGCGTTGCACGTTTTTCATCTAAAAATCTCAAAACTATAAACTTCAAGCTTCAAATTGCTTTTTTACGGCTTCAATGCGACCATTTTTAACGAAGATACTATATCTATCCGAAAAATCGCAAATTTTTTTTATTTTTTTTTATCCTTTAATTTTTTCTATTAGTGTAGATATTTTACTTATATGGAACTCCCAAATAATAAGAAATCAGATTTTTTAGTCTGGGTCAAAATTTTCAATAGTGAAAAATGTAATACATTTCACTTTATTATTAATATACATTTTACTCAAAATTTCATTTTGAAAAATTACTCCATTTTTGAGATTGATGTTATTTATTGACATAATATGCTTTATTGTAGCGGATTTAAAAAAAAACGTTATTTTCTAGTTTTTTTTTTCACATCTGAAAAAAAAAACAGTTTTTTACATCTCTATCCATAACTCTCTCTCTAAAAATGAATTAGTGAAAAATGACTAATTACTACAGTTATTAGTGGCTGCTTTTTACTTACCATGGTATAGCATGGGATAGCATGGTATCCCCGATATAATATAATTATTATGCAAAATTGTCCGCATAATCCGAAAATTTCCGAAAAGTTATAAAAGTAAAACGGTTTTTGACATATAGTCAATTTTCCATATAATATGCATCTAAATTTTAAATTATAAATAAAACTAACAATATCGCTAAAAACGGGCAAAAATTAATATATCTTTTAAGGGAATAAAAATAACAAAACAAGACTAACTGGACTGAAAAGATGAAGGTGGGGAGTACATTTCCTGAAAGCTTCAGATTTTTATTTTTTCCTCAACATAATGATTTCTGAGGGCAAAATTGACTAATTTTAAGAATTATCAAGTTTCAATAATTTTTTTAATAAAGAAAATGATAGTCTAGAAACAGGAGCCAGACAAAAATCACAAAAATTAGCAAATTATCATGAATCTTTGGTGGTTTACCATTCTTTTATGAGATTAACTAATTGGATAATAATAATTTATATCGAAAACACAGTTACTAAAAATTCTGAGAGTAAGAAATTGACACGATTTCAGATTTCTAAATGGTGCCGATTAAAAGTAAAGAATCCAAAAATTAAAACGGCAATGGATTTTCATATTTGATACCTAAAAGTTCATCCTCAATTTTTATCAAAATAAAAAGACAAGCGGCGCACCCCATTTGGTGTTTTTATTTGGAATGACTCATATTTAATTAACGCATATCTTATAAGATTTATATATAAAATCGAAGATTTTTTTTTGGATTAACTTATACCTGTAGAAGGCATAAAAAATGTTGTTAACACAATTTAGCAATTTTAAACGATAACAGCCCATGTAGTCTTGCAACTTTATTACTCGAAAACTAGACGTGTTACAACCTAGAATTTTTTAATATTTTCTCATATCGACTTATATCGTGCCCAAACCTCCTTAATTAAAAAAAAAATATATTTCAGTTTAAGCATTAAATAAAAATTAAATTTTGAATCAAACCTGAATTAATTGACATATTTTGACGATTTATGAAATTTACACAAACTTGTTAAGTATGTTATATCTACGTAATTTAAATGAGTTATTGCGTTGGTGAAATATGTGATAGGGCAATAGACATATTGATTAAACTATTTTTCAATAATAAATAATTTCGTGACAATATTGCGGCTGGTTTACCAGATAAACTTCATTTATTTTGAATTGTTTTAAATTTATCAAAAGTAAATATTAAATTTAAACAATTTAAACTACACAGCCGTAATGGAATTGCACCTGTTTATAATCCTGTAGCGGACAGTTTCCAATTCCGAATAACATGAGCATGTAAAATCGATAGTCCTAGCAAAGGACGACTATCTAATTAACTGAATTAACTTAACTGAATCGTAAGCGAAACAATGGTCAGCGCATTTTTGGGATTCCAATCAAAGCTACGCGTATACTATAATAAAAAACAATGTGGGTCAAAGGTTCAGGATTTGTGTTTATAAAGGACCGATGACCTCGCACTCTATAAACAACCATTTTTCATCCCTATTGATGTCATAAATATATTTATATATATATCCCTGACTATTTCTTTTAACGAATTTTAGCAATTAAATACATAGATTATGGAGGTTCGGGTCCAATATTAGTCGCTATGGAAAAATGTTGAAAACATTCTACGTTGTAGTAGAATATACTTAAAAGACGTTTAAAAGGTTTTAGAAAGATTGGCCGTCTGGTTTCCGAGTAAAAAATTATTAAATTTGCCAAAAATACACGGGTTAATGTTGCTAAACTGTTTTGTGAATGTTAACAAAAATTTGTATGCCAATTCTACATGTATACGTGCATATATACACGTATTCCAGAACAAAATCATCGATTTTCTATTGTTATGTTATAAGATATGCGTTATTTAAATACTCCTATACAGCCCATGTCTTAAATTAATGCAAACGAAAATTTTGACTTTGTCCAACCAAAATTATCAATCTGTCATTCTCGTTTAGAAGATCCCGCAACACTGGATTACGAATACGTGATTTTCTGGAAATATTTGATTTGATTTATTTGGTGACTACCATAATTTCGTTTTTAAAGAAAATTATTAAAAAAAAACACTATTTATTGTTATTTATTGTAAATTAGGTATTTTTTTTTTTAATAATTATTATTTTACCTTGTATGGTTTTCTGCTATTATCTTCATACTGCCTGTTTTCTGTTACTTTATTTTTTATTCCCTTTTTTTTAAATTTTTCTTTGTTGTGGACTTTATTTAATCATTCTATGGTTTCATTACCATAGAAACCAACTATAAACAACTCGCAATGTGGTCGCGTCTAAGTCCTATTTTTTAATTCACAATATAAATGTATAAATTGCGTTTTGTATTAAAATAAAAATAAATATAAAATCAGGAAAATTGGCTGTTTTTAAATCAAATGGAATAAAATGACAAAGTGAATTTTGTTTTGGCTAGTTGGTACTATGGTACAAGACAAGAAGGTATGTTCTTTAGTAGGACGAATTTTGGTCCACTTTGTCCACCATCCAGTTACCGCCATCTTGGTTTATTCCCGCTTTTGAATTTAAATAATATTCTAAATTTAAAAATTATTCTTTTATGAAATTCATCCAATTTTCTCTAAAATTATTCGATTTTAAATTAAATTGTCAAATAATTTAAAGATCAAAATACCAAATAAAATATTTAAAAAAAATTATTTTAGTTTTTAGGTTAAATGTTTTAAATAATGGGTTTTCAAATAAAATATCTTGTTTTAAATCCACTTATAAGTCAAAATTTTTCAATAAAAGGAAATATCCTGTTTTAAAGCAAATATAAAGAATTATTACCTATTTGAAAAGTTATAACATTAACATTGCAAGACTTTTATTGTAAACAAAATATTTTTTTCTAAATTTACTTGTTACAAAATTGTATTTACAAACAATTGCAATTTGGGTTTAGTTGCCAAATAAAAACCCTAAATTGGCCTCCATGGAGCAAACATTGAATAAAACAAACTAAACTAAAAAAATATTATATCATGGTATGGTTTAAGCTGCTTTTGGGATGTTTCAATCCTGGGCCATTTCATTATCAGCAGCATGCTGCAGTTTAAGTTTCTGTTATGGACTGTCCTTAAAGATCGTTAGCTTCCTTGTTTCGGCACTTTTTCGGCACAGATTGATTTTGTTTTTCAAATTTTATTTTAATTTCTTACACTGCAGTACTTGATTTCTTAGAGTTTGAGTTTCTGCTACGGGCTGTCTTCAAAGATCATATTATGCTTTCTGATTTTGTACTATTTCTTATACACTGTTAAAAGAACTATAGTTTTTTATAATTTTATTTCAATTTCTTACGAATTCGTAAGTAAGTTTTTGATTTCTCCTTTGATAGATCAGCTTTTAAGTGTAAAGTTAGAACCGTATCCACTGTCAAAGACATGTAAAGACTTTATTAGGGGAATGTAATTTTTATAGTATAAAGTATAGTTCTTCGAAGTAAATGAAACAAATACAAGCTACAAAATAAATAAAAATATTAACCTAAATTATTCTTTTATTTATATATCTGTCACAGATGTCACAGTGTATACAAAAGAAAAGTCCATCTAAAAAACAACTGCTATTTAATTGCTTTTAAAATAAATCTACTTACTATTCTTAACATCACTTTTAGGAAGCCCATACTGAGGAAATGTATTGAATTTCCAGTTTTTTTGATTTGGCATTCTTTTTATAGATTTTCACTTGACAGATAAACATTTTTTACACTTTAAATTTGCTTAAAAAACAACTTACATCCACGGTACCATGGTTGGTAACTATTTCTACTTATAAAAGCAACTTATCTCTTTTCCCGCAATGTACTGCCCAGTAACTCCATGATACAACAATCTTGAAAAGATATTAAAGAACTATGATAAAACAGTGACATCTACCCTATATTGTATTTTTGTATAAGCATATTCTTTTCTTAGAATTCTTAAACCATCTTATCTCAAATTATATCCTTTGCATTAAGATAATTTATAGTACAACTTCCCCATGACTAACTATTTCAATTCAATGGTAAATGGACCATTGAAAACTTAATATTCCGTCCATAGTCAAACAGGTGAAGAACTTCGTCGTTAAATTGAATTAAATTAAGCTCCTTTCTCGACAGAGAAGAAGAACGTAAAGAGGAAAGGGAGGCGGAGTGGAACCTTGAACGGAACAGGCACAGTCAAAGGCAAAACCTATACGCACCGCTTATTGGTTGTTTAAATACAACACCGACGAGCAAGATAAATATCTTATGCGAAAATTAAACTCTAAGGAGCGCGTGCTGACACGAGGGTTCACTCGGCTGAGCCAAATTAAATAATTCCGATGAACTTTGCGCCAGCAACGACTTGATTTCGTGTCACAAATGTCTTTCGGGAAAACTTCTTTATTGTTATAATCACATATTATAATATAAAATATTATATAATATCCTATATTTATAAATGGTTATTTTTTTGTTAATTAAAAAAGCTTCCAAATTTAATCATAAGTGCCTTTTCAGAAACAAGTTTATTAATATATAAAGGGTAACCCATCAAACACTTGTATGATAAAATAAAAAAATCTTATATATACTTTTGTTTTTAGGGGACATATTTACACATTAATTTTATTACTGTAACTTTAACCCCTTATCTTAGATCTATTGAAAGGGCTATAAATTTCCTTTAAAATGGTGCTTCGTTTTTTTTTAAATTTGTGCTGCAGGTTTCCGAAAAATTTAATTTAATTTTATTGCAATAATGATGATTATCATTAGTACTAAAGTATTATCTTATTAACTGTCGAAAATGTCCGCCGTTCACCTCCATACAGCAACTGTTGAAAGTGTTTCCTGGTTTTGTGAAAAATATTGGGTGTACTTTGTTGGAATTTATTAGTGATGCGGTTTCGTAAATCTTCTAAGGATTCAGGTTGAGTGGCATGAATTTTGGATTTTAGTTTTCCCCTCCAAAATTAATTAAGGGGAGATAAATCCGGTGATCTCGCGAGCCATTTGATAGCACCTTTTTTCCCAATATATCTACCAGAAAACGTTTAATCCAGAAACTGGCGTACAGGTAATACATCATGGGGAGGAGCTCCGTCTTGCTGAAATATCGGATTTTCTTCATGGTAACGTTGGTAATTTTCCATAATTTCAATCAGCGCTGGGTTGGCGGCATTCTCCAACAAGCCTAAGTAAGTGGCTCCATATAAATTTTCCGATAAGAAAAATGGTCCATTTCTGTGATCACCAGCCCTAACGTTTAATTTCTGAAGATGAGTATGAACCTTATGGAGGATCCTTGGATTTGTGTCGGACCAATAATGACAATTTTGACGATTTCATTTAGAAAAAATAAACATTCGTCTGAGAAGCAAACATTAAAAATGTAGTTGGAAATATTTATAATTATTTCGGAAGTCTAGGATGTAACCATGATGTACGTGTCTATTTAATCTTATTAAAAAAAATTGGCTTACACATTGATTGTTTATAAAATACAATTCAATAATTCTATTTCTCTCCGAAATAGAATAAACAATTTTTTATGAAAATAAAAGCACAGAAATAACGAACTATCCACATCAACTACTTTACTGAAGATAAAGTTGATTTGTCGACTGATATTTGTTATTGCTCGGAATTCCATTGCTCGGCGACGCATAGCTCAAATTTAAAAGACGAACGGGTCCGAAGTTTTTTACATACAAAACTGTAAACCTTACTGGGCTCTTTTCGATGGGCTACCCTGTATAATACTAAACATGTCAAAAAGGTTTAATTAAGGTAGTATCTACATGCATTTAAGAAGTTTTCATAGAATATCTTTAATATTTAATATATGTCTTTGTTGGGCATCAGACACTAACAAGCGCAGATTCTGAGAAATATTTTTTAAGGTTGCAGTGTTTCCATGCGTCTTAAAAAACATTCAAAAACTTTTTATGTTGTTTTTAGGTTTTAATTATAAAAAATACAACGTTTTATTTTAACTACATTGGTTCATCTGAAATAACTGTCACGGCGCGCCGTACTGTTTTGTATTTACCAATAAAGACACTTGCATAAATTTTAATACTGATCAAAGTAATGAGTTGGTGATCGGGACAAAAAATCATTGGTTATTACAAATAACAAATTATTAAGAATAAGTTAAAAGCTAAAAATCAAATGGATTTGCAAAGAAGTGGAAAACCTTATCGCTATAACAAATCCACTTGATTTAAGTTTACAAAAAACTTTTGATGTTTTTTACATAAGAAAATCTATTATTTGGTTTTATAGATGTATCCCAAAAGAGATATCACGAACATAGTCGAAAGCAGCCATTACTTGAAAATTGGATCGTGGTGTAGAGCTGGAGCTACACCTGGTACGCAGTCCAGAGGAAAATGCAAGACGGCCAGATGGGTTAAACCATTCCGTTGTTTGGGTAAGTCGATATTTTTTCTCTTTTTTGCTTAAGTTAACAAGGAGAAAAATAGAACATTTTGTTGGAAAGGTTTTTTTTTTAAATTAGGACTGTTATAATTTACACATTTCAATTAAAAATTGTTAACCAAAAATTACTTTTTGTACTCCCACCTTTAAAACACATGGTGATCTTCTAAATATACATTGACAAGTTGTGGCTTTATGGCGTTTTAGTCACGGTCTGCAGTTAGCAACAGGATTTAAATACAACATTTAAAGGTAAATAGTTTCTTAACGCCAATACATATTTGAAAAGTATATATGCATATTTGTAGTGACCTTTTGAATTTTCCGACACTAAACTAGATTTAACTAAAAGCATTACAAATTTTGGGTGAAGACTACACCGCGGTGCACCGTAAAGTGCCCATAAAACATTCTCTTTACTTTCACTGTGAAAACATTTTCTTTACTTTCACCGTGAAAAACTGCTTTTATATCGGATTCAAACGGTCCATTTTTAAGGTATACATTTCGATTTACACTTAAAAATGTATAGATGACGCTCTATTCAAATATTTAATATGAATCATTTATTAATTCATTTAATAATCAGATAATAATAAGTATTTGTCGTAAAAAAAGTAAGCAACTCGTTTATAAACTTTTCCAGACACTCATTTAATTAACCACTCGCTTGCAAGCTCGCTCGTGCAAAATTAAATTCGCGACTAAAATGGTGTTTATTAATTAAACTTGATACATGATAGTAATGTTTTTGATTGTTTTTTGAACTAATGATTAAAAAATTTTTATTTTATCTGAAATTTAAAAATATGAATTGTATTTAGTCCTGAGAATTATTTTTTTTGTGAATACTTAACCAATTTAATTTAAAAAAATCCTTCTTTCACAGATACTTGATTATATTTTTTTGGCAATTGAAACTTTTTAGACCCCATTGTGCGACATTTCAGCATATAAATCTGGAGTTGGCGCGCAAAGATGACAGCTTTCAAAATTGTTATCACTTTATCATCTGTTATCGCATTGAACACGCTTTATACTAAAGCAGGAAACAAATAAATGTGTATATATAAATTATGCTGCTGCGTTCTGCTTTTGTTTTCCTATTTTTTCCTATTACTTACGTCAAAAATATCGACTCGCTTTTGTTTAAAGGTTACGTGTTTGTGCTGGTAAAGCAATTTAAAAATTACCATTATAAATACCCGAGTTTTACTTGCTTTTGTGTTGCGTTTTGATTTTATCTTTTAAGTTCTATAAAATTAGCCTTAACGTTACAAATACATAAATTATAATAAATAATTATTAATTATAATTAATAATAAATTATAATTAATAATTAATAATTATTAAGGTAGTTAAGGTACAAAATATTTAAAAACCGCTACCAAATTAGTTTATTTTTAAATAGTATTTAGTAGTTTTTTGTATATTGTCAATAATATATGTATTAGTGGCTACGCCAGCAAAGACACCTATACCGCGGGCGACTTTAAGTAAAATAAAAAAAGCACAAAAAAATACTAAAAAAGACAAAAAAGTTATAAAATGTCAAAAAAGTCATATTAATCCGTTGCTGCTTGAAGGGTAAACAAACACAGGCATTATTTTATTTTTGGTGTACAACTGACTCATACCAGCATTTGGTTTTGCCGAAGTCCACTAAATGCATGGCGTAATTATTAGGTTAATCTACTTTAAAAATGATTAGTTACTTATAAAGTTTGGATGCACTCAAAAGTATATAAAAAAGTGCTCTTTTAGTTCCACCCTTACTTCCTAAGAAGTCCCAGAAGCTAAGGGGTAGGATCGGACCGCGGGCTTGAAGTCCCCTCCAAAGGACTAATACACAATAGGACAAAAACAACCCTACCAATGTGAAAATTGAACCCACGACCTTTCGGTTTGTAGTCAGCAGCACTGACCACTATAGTCGACCTTTTGGCGGTCTGTATACTTTTACTGTAAAATATAATAAAATAATTTTTACTTTTAGTATAATTTCACAAGAAGAGCACTTTATTTTAACTAACGTATGACATTCGTCAAATGTTAACTAACATAAAACTTCAGCCCTTGACTTAAAACCTGTTGCCAACTTTTGCCAATGGCTAAAACGCAATAAAGCCACAACTTGTCAATGGGTATTTAAAATTGTGTCGTTAACACATGTACAATAATGGGTGTTTTAAACATGGGAGTAGAAAATAGTATATTATGTTTCAAATTTTATAAACGCCATTTTAGTTACGAGTTTTATTAGGCACGAGTGTCACTATTGCTAACTTCGGCCCGTGACTAATGTAGGAGTAGATCATAGTATATTATGTATCAAGTTTTATAAACGCCATTTTATATATGCACGAGTTTTATTAGGCACAAGCGAAGCTTGCGAGCGAGTGTTTAATAAAAACGAGTGCCTAGAGATGTTTATAAAAGGAGTTGCTATACTTTATCTACGACGAACAGAAATAAGAGTGTAAAGCCAATTTTAATTTATAAATATTTGACATTTGACAGATTTAACCTCACTTTTTTGCAATTTATAATAACGCTAACTTCAGCCCGTGACTAAAATGCCCAAAAGCCACTGTTGTTAACTTCAGCCCGTGACTAAAACACCATAAAGTCACAGCTCTTCAATGTAGGAGTAGATAAAATATATTATGCTGTAAAGCCTTTCTTATAAGTGCTAATAAAATAAAAAAAATTAAAAAATTCTTATGACTTAAACAAATTTTATAAATAAAAAAATAATTATACCTAATTCTTTTGTAAAAAAACAAATTAGTCCCATTAAGTTAAATGTATAACATTCTATTTATTTTGAAATAGTGCATTATTGTGTAATAATTTCGGTAAATCATGCCCAAAAAAATATAAATTATGCAATTTTAAATCCCTGTTTTTGGCAACTCAATTTTTATTACACTATAAGAAATTGAACGGTTTTGTTCTTCTGTTTTTTTGGCGCTTATTTCCTGCCTAAGCGTTACGTAAATCGGGGAGGTTATTAATTTTAATCTGTTCGCTTTTACTGCTCCCCTTTCTTTTGTTTTTGTCTGGATTTAATTAAAAATATTATTGGAATAAACATTATTACTATCAAAGGACTGTTGTTAGAAGCAATATTCATAAATAATTAACATTATATTTTTCGAAATTGTGTTTTAGTCTCGACTAAATTGTGTAAATTTTGATGCAATCGGTTATTTCAATTTATTAAATTCCAGGATCGTTATTATTTTAACTTAACAGTATTAATAATCAATTTTGCAGTTTTGACAAATTATTAGAAATGTAAATAATAATTTATAAATTAAATAACTCGATTTCTGCCTGGATTTATGTTTACAAAGTATCATTAATTTATAATGAAGCACCCAACCAATTCTATTTACTATTAGTTTAATTGAACCAATTTGATTTATACCTTTTTTGATTATTATACAGGTAAATAAGGGGCGTAAATACCTACTTTTTTAATTTCTACTTAGTTACTAGTCAAGCACCTTCTAAGCGGCTAGACAATGAAAATCTATGATAAACTTGGAAATTTAAAAAAAAAATTGAGGATAAATTTTTTTTGCGTGTTATGCCAAAACCATGAATTTACGCTTTTGCTTTATTAAAAATAAGCGATTTTTGGCTAACCCTGTATATATCAAATGATCAAATGATGAAATCATCAGATGATGATTAAAAAGTATTCCCTAAGTCTCCTCAATAATATACTCCAATTTTATAAAAATCGGTGTACAAATGTGTGCTATGTTAAAGGCAGACTTTGAAATAAACAAAAATTTGAAATAAAATCATGAATTTTCAAAAAATTTCGAAAAGAGGAGCAGCTAGGATTTTGGTAAATATCATTTTTAAGTGACTTAAACTTCGTTGACTCAACCGTGTTAAGATATAGCCATTTAATATGGAATTGACTATATCTCAAAAACTGCTCCACTTTTATAATTTTTGAAGATATTTTCGGATTCAGGGGACAAATTTACATAAAAATTGGGATACCATGGTATTCCATGGTTAACCATGGTACTATTTTTGACTAATTCATTTTTAGAGAGTGGGTATTAATAGTTTAAAATTAATTTAAATTCAACCAAACGGTACAAATTTAGAAAAGAAAGAAGTCTATACTCGTAAAAGGTATACCTTTATAAAAACGTGCTTCAATCCACGTGTAAATAATGCATTGTGCAGTTACGTTTGCACTTAAATTTTAAATGTGATTAGCTTTATATAATGAAACCTTTAAAGACGCTGTTTCAAAGAAACCCATATAAAATATTTACAGCATTGTGCCCAAGTTTGCTCACGGGACCGTAAACAATAAATTATTGAGACTAAACGATAACGCTATACGACATTCTAATTTATTGTTTAAAATTGTTGGTGTGTGCGGCTTTTATTTATTGCATACGTTGCCGTGTGGGTTTTCAATGAATTTATTGCCATAACAATTACTTCGCCTAGTGCCTATGTTAGGTACTAGCGTATGCACCACACAAAAACCAAGTAAATTTCGTTATACAAGAATGACTCTTTACTCATAACTTTGGAGGCAATCAACCTACTGAAATCTAAAAATAAAACAACATTCCCTTTAATTTTTTTTTTCATAACAATATTACTGGTTAATATAACTTTTTTAATTTTTAGCCTTTTCTACTATTTTGCAGGTATTTGCTTAGGTCTAAATTTTTATTAGTTAACTATTTTGCCTTATTATTTACAAATGCTATTACAAGTTCTCACCGATTTTGCCGATAGATCATTCAGAATTCGCATATCATCTCTGATATATCTATACTTGAGTGCAGAGTTGGGAGTACTGAGTATTTTTTTAATGGATTATGCTACCATTACTAATTATTACTTGATTTTATAATTGTAATGAGAAAAAAATATTGAGTACTTTTTATTTTTACTTTACCAATTTGATAATTACAATTTTTTTTTTTATTTTGTAATTATAAT